AAATAAGACTTTATTCAACATCCATAACTTTTCATTTTCTATCGCATGTTGACCAAGAACGAGGTATGATAACTTCTTAACCGTTTTTGTTTCTTTTTTGTTATATTTTTCGATTCACCACTTTGCTACTAGTAATATTTTTCTCCCATTTGCACCCCCTCCGTTTTAATATATTTGTATATAATATGTTAATACATACTTTGACATTTTTAAAAGTATATATTTTTAGAGAATTAATAAAATGTTGTACCCACCCAATATACAGGGTACGCCAGAAATACCTCACACACAATAAGACAATAACAGCAATGGTGTTTTCATCTAGCTAATGTCTTACCGTTATGTGGGTGGTTCTGTGGGAGTATCCTACATTATTCAAGCATTATATATTTATTCATTCAGACCAGTCAACTGAATCAATGTATAATAGTAACGCAACATCTTAGACGTTCACTTCCAAACATGCTATTTTGCTCCCCCACCTCATGTTCAGCTTGTTGAGACTTTTACATGGATGTCATACATGGCACCAAGCACGTCCAGAAATATATAAACAGTAAGATGCAAGAATCACTTTCTTAGATCGATAGTAAAAAATGTTTTCGGGTGAATAAAGCCTGTAGGCCTTAGCGAGAACTAACTTTTTTAGAATCTCGGAATAGCGTTATAGAATCATAAAGAACTGTACCAGAGGACAGAAACCACGTCACTCGAGGACTTCCAACAACGGCAGCAACTAAAATGGTTAGCACATGTAAATCTAAGAGAAAATAATGACAATAAGGAGATTAACGTTTCACACCACTTCAAACAAAAAGCTAAGAAGGAAATCCCCTATCAATACTGGAAAGAGCGATAATAGTGGACTTGAGAAACCTCCTTCCCCCGCCAAATATTTTGGGAAAAACGTTTCTTTTTCAGACGATGTTTTATTTGTTTGTGAAGAATAAGAAACTTTGAAGTATTCGAGGGGTGGCTAACACTTCTTCTAGACGTACAATTGGACTAGTTCCAAGCTCAGAAGGGCATAAAAAGAATCAAGATCGACGAATAAACACGTCTGTAGCAAGTTTGTGAAAGTTATGATTTAGACGTGTTTATTCGTCCGTGTTTGAAAAAGGAACTTTGGGCAAGAACGTATATACACGTGTAAGACAGGAAAGGGATTAGTAGAATGATTTTATAAATTCCAACCAACAATAACGACTACTCTTAGGTTAATAAAGGCCAAATGTTTTCTTATAAAGAAACGGTTAATATGATGAATATTGGCCGTAGATGGGTATACAATCGCTAAAAAAAGAGCATAGCTTGATGAAAAAGACGCCAACCTTGCCGAAAACAAAATTTTATTGTCTAAATGCTTATGTTATTATTAAGAGGAAAGACCAAAAGTTTTTTTTAATTATTTTTAAAAATTTTCCTTCTTTTTAGAAAATTCTAAATTTTGATTAAAAAACCTTGTTTCTATTTGTATCAGCGGAACTAGTAAATAACAGACAATTTTTAGCACGTTTTTTTTGGTATGACACATTAATTTGAAAAATCGTGCAAAAATAGAAATAATTATCGGATGTTAATGAAACTTTCAGGAACTATTCACAGATGATCGAAATTATTATAAATATGTTTTTTTTTATGAAAGTCATGGTAGAAATATTTTTAAAAAATATTTATTACCCCCCTATAACTAATTTTATGAAAACGCTAGAAATTCGATCGCATCGGTTTTAGTGATTACATTAATTAAAAGCACAGGGCTTTGAGGAATGCAAATCATGTTTTTTTTTTTGTTTTTAATTGGATACGCAGTACCTGAAAATCAGCTCTGAATTGTAACATACAAAACTCAATAAAAAAAAAGATATTATTTAATTTCAAATGCTTTTATTTGCTTTTAGTTGTTTTTATGAATATGGACAATATTTTCTGAAAGCAAAAAAAATTTTCGATGAAAATGAATTTTAATACAATTATTTGTTATTTCATTAATTATAATAGATTTTACATTTAAGTTGTTAAAATATTATAAAATTAGTTAAAAGCCGCATCGGCTTTCATAAGTGTCCTTATGAGATAGATCTTTTTTAGCGCGTTGTAAATTGTATCATTTTGACTAATCAGAAGATCCCCAGTAATTAAGAAATGTAATTTTGTGCTTATAATCTAGCTGTAATTATAAAATACGGAAGACCAACCAGAATATAATTAAGTTGCGTTATTTGAGTTAAGCATTGTTCTCCGCTGTTAAGGCCTTTACTTTTGCGAAACACGTGTGGAGAAGTTAATTTGATTTTTCAATTTCAACTGAGAAGGGTACCTACAAGTATCAGTATCATCTTATGAAATTTATATGATCTTATTTTTATATTAATCTCAGTTACGACATTTTTCCATAAATGAAATATCAAAATTAATAATAAAATGAATGCAAATACAAATAACAGTAGAATGTAATAAATGTACATAAAATTATAGTATTTTATGTACACTTCTGATAAAATTTCATAAGAAAGGTACCTATAAATTAATTAGATACCTTTCTTAAGAAATATGAAATTTAATGTCACTCTTAACAGTTTTATTTTAATTTCTTTAGAATATATTTCCCATAAAGCATCATAAACGTAAAGGTGAAAGCTAAGTACAAAAAAAAAAAAAAAAAAAAAAAAATTAGACCGCTGAAAGTTTTCGTTAAAAATAACGGGGTAAATAATTTGTTCACGTAAATGTAAATTATTTCACTTTTCTCCTTCCGTAGAACAAATTAGCCTCATGGAATTCATAAATATATCATATGTCAAGAGACGTGAAAGTTTATGACCTGCTTTGTTTTATTTTCAAATTACATCTTTTTGGCACAAAAGCTAAGTTAAGTTTGGTTCAAAATATTTTAAATAAACATTATAATTTCTGATTTTCTTAAAATAAGTTTTGAAAAAATGATAATTGATATTTAAAAAAATTTCAAAATCAGATTTCCAGTTTTTTTTTAAATGGAAAAAAATGGTCAATTTTGCTGACTCAAAAAAAACTAGATTTTTAACGAAAATTTCGGACGTGATAGGAACGATTAAAAAATGGAAAAAAATACCCCAAAAATACTTTGACCTTTCCTCTTAATAATAACAAACATTTAGACGATAAAATTTTGTTTTCGTCAAGTTTGGCGTCTTTTTCATCATGCTATGCTCTTTTTTTAGCGATCTCGTGGAGGTACCTAGGTATACGCTACTGAATCAGATGGTTCAATATGGGAACTTTCAGAGCGTTGCGACATCTTTGGAACATCGATAAATAATCGAATTTCGATACCATGACAACCAGGCATAGACTATACCATTTTAAGTTCAATTTGGGACTAATCAAAGTAATTTTGGGACGTAGCAAATTCAAAATCAAACAGCCAAGTTCAAAATGGGACGTCGCAAATTCAAAATGAAACAGCCAAGTTCAGAATGGGACGTAGCAAATTCAAAATGAAACAGCCAAGTTCAGAATGGGACGTAGCAAATTCAAAATGAAATAGCCAAGTTCAGAATGGGACGTAGCAAATTCAAAATGAAACAGCCAAGTGCAGAATGGGACGTAGCAAATTCAAAATGAAATAGCCAAGTTCAGAATGGGACGTAGCAAATTCAAAATGAAACAGCCAAGTTCAGAATGGGACGTAGCAAATTCAAAATCAAATAGCCAAGTTCAGAATGGGACGTAGCAAATTCAAAATGAAACAGCCAAGTTCAGAATGGGACGTAGCAAATTCAAAATGAAACAGCCAAGTTCAGAATGGGACGTAGCAAATTCAAAATGAAACAGCCAAGTTCAGAATGAGACGTAGCAAATTCAAAATGAAACAGCCAAGTTCAGAATGGGACGTAGCAAATTCAAAATGAAATAGCCAGGTTCAGAATGGGACGTAGCAAATTCAAAATGAAACAGCCAAGTTCAGAATGGGACGTAGCAAATTCAAAATGAAACAGCCAAGTTCAGAATGGGACGTAGCAAATTCAAAATGAAATAAGCAAGTTTGAATTGGTACTAAGCAGATTCATTATGGATTATGCGAGTTCAAATTGGAACAATCTCTCTTTTTTTTGTTATATGGACTTCTATATCACAATGTCATATTTGCAATCTATTATTTTAATATTTCTTGCATAAAAAACACACAAAACCAGATATTCTCTAAGTAGTTGCTTGTAGCTCGAACAGAGTTCTACCAGAATCTGTGTAGATAACTAACATTTAAATTCAATTCGTTAGCTTATATAAAAGCTGTCGAATTCATAAATAAATTTGATCTGGTATACCGAGTGGAGCATACAGCAATGGAAGAGCAAAGAATGTAACAGTCGAAAAGTAAATGCGTCGAGATTAGTTTCAACGGCTCGTAGAATTCTGACATTGCATCGTCTAACAAAATCCGATACCATATCAAAGAAACCGAGTTTTTTTTTTAAATATATGAAATCAACATTGAATATTATTATACAATTTAAGAAAAGTTTTAAAACATAACGGATTTTTTTAACTGCGAGGAAAGCTAAATATATCTGGAAAGAATGTTAGGATAATCCAGAACTTAAATCGTTTAAAAATGGAGAGGCTGCACTTGTTATTCTACGTAGAGTTATTCACCTCCTATGGCGAGACTATCCTAAGGAAGCTGGAGACACTACCAGGATTTATTAGCTTGTCGGCGTCATCTTGACAAAATAATATACGCAGATGACACTGTGTAGATGGCTGACATCGAAAGAAAGCTACAGGACATCCTAGACAGAGAAAGCGAGAAAAAAAAGGATTGACCGTCCTTTGCAAAAAGACAGAGTCTGGTCATAAGTAAGAAGAAAAGTCAAAGATTCGAGTTACAAAGTCGAGATGTCAACATCAAGTGAGTACAAAATGTTAAATATCCGGGAATTATTTTAACAGGGGATGGAAAATACGACACCGAAATCCGAACATAGATTAAACTAACAAAAGAGGCTTTTCAAAAGCTAAGTGCCGAGAAATAGAAACACGCGGACAAAAGAGAGACCGGCAGAAACACGCGGACAAAGGAGAGACCAGCAGAAACACGCGGACAAAGGAGAGACCAGCAGAAACACGCGGACAAAGGAGAGACCGGCAGAAACACGCGGACAAAGGAGAGACCGGCAGAAACACGCGGACAAAGGAGTGACGGGCAGAAACACGCGGACAAAAGAGAGACGGGCAGAAACACGCGGACAAAAGAGAGACGGGCAGAAACACGCAGACAATGAGAGACCGACAGAAACACGCAGACAATGAGAGACCGACAGAAACACGCAGACAATGAGAGACTGACAGAAACACGCAGACAATGAGAGACAAAACGCGGAGAAAGAGTGAGAGAGAATGTGACGTAAAAAGAAATATAAACAAACACGGAGTGCTCGTAGCTGGGTTAATTTCTCTGCTTCTCTTTTAATCAACAAAGCAATGTCTCCTCTCCCCCACTACCTCCGCAATTAAATCAGGAAGTAGCCAGCGGCTTGCAATCTGTTCTTTAACGATCGTTTACTCCTATCAACTTCCGCTTTTGTCACGCACTTGTTAATTGGAATTTCACCAGCTGCAAATGAAACTATTTTTTTTTTCTTTTTAATTCTTGGATTGCAATCTTTCAACGACCTTTGCCCCACGTCTTGACCGACATTTGACAACTCCGCCAAATAGAAAGATTATTAAATCCTTACCATATCCTGATTTATTTTCTGTAGTTTTTTTTTTTTACTCGATTTACTTTGAGATGTTTAGATTAAAAAATAAATCCAAGTTACGAAAATACTTAGTAAGTACGTCCATTACGCCGTGCCAATATCTCAGAAATAATTGATCGCGAGAAAAGACATCAGAGACGTTGTTTGATTTCAATGAGGAAAAAAAAAAAAAAAAAGAAAAAAAAACAGTGAAGCCCTGTTACTAGCAACAGCTGTTAATATTATTGGCAACCCTGAAAAGGACTGATGATATATTTGGAAATAAAAAAGGAGGTGGCTGTGTGAGCTTTTCAGCAATTGGGTGGTGGTGACAAGAAGCTGTTACTTCCGCAATCAAACTTTACAGGGGATAAGAAAAATGTTTCTTCATATTTACTAAAGTTCGAAGGGATCGTCGACTTGCTACCATTAACCCATCCCCGATAAGATCAGAGTTATTGTTTTAATATACATTGTACTCTTAAAAAAAAAAAAAAGGGATTTCATTGTCCATAGTAACCACCATCTCCTGAAATCCAAAATTGTATAATAATCCCAAAGCACAAGATTAATGATTATTATACTATTTATACACGGACTATTGTTCTCATCTTTGTTTAACTTTTAAAGTGATAAAAAACTGTCGGATTAATAAATAAGGATCCATTACTTCTTTTAAAATTACTTTGTTTACATTTGGATACGATATTGAATTTAAAAAAACGTTACACTTCACTCGTTCTATTTATCTTTTTATTAAAACATACAACTAGCAAGATTAAGAGGAATGAACCAAATCGCTAATCGTTGATTTCTACGCTAAAGAAGTCAATATTTGCAGAGATTAATGTGCTACAAATACGTTTCGGCCGTAGTGTCCTTCGGACTTCGTCAGGTGTATGTCGATCCGAGTATCCTACAAGGAATTCCGAGCTGAATCCTTTACTTAGGTAGGTGGTTTTTATCCCATTGCTCATGTCTAGGGATAACTCGTATAGTTCTAGTTTCCACTGTGCCCATGCACACACTGCCTGGGATTGAAGTATTATGTCAACAAATTCACGAACCAACGCTTTAAGCCATTAGGCTATTGTCCCGTGGTCAATTCTCTGTGAAGAAATTGGAGCATTAAACCTAATCTGCCTGCTTTCCTCAGGTTCTCGAATATGAACAGATGGAAAAAATGTTGAGGATACTAAAACGTTATAAAAGGTATGCATGTATAGAGAATATGACGAATTCAGCCTTGCTTGACAACCAGTCTAGGAGAAAAGCAACTGAATTCAAATCTTTAGGGCTACTTGGTGACCTCATGACTCACTATATGCGCCAGTTGTATGTTCAGGCCTTCTGAAAAGTGTTAGGCGTTTCTTCACGTTTCTTTCACCACAAATAATTAAACTACTGGGTAGTCTGACTGTTCAGTTCTAGGAGATGAACTGCTGGACCGTCATCGGTCAAAGACAATGGAAGAGTCCAACAGCTATAACACACACATTGTTATGGTCAGAATCACTGGCTGACATCTCTACCCAAGAGAAAAAAAAAGGTATTTTTGTTCTAATATATTCTTCAAACAAAGGCACGGTGGAGTAATGGATAGCGGCTCCAAGAGCCGATTTCGAATTCCAGTCTGATCCATTACATTCACTGCTAATACCCTTGGGAAAGATACGAATCCTCTTCCCCCCACCTCAGCTATGAGTAAATAGCAGGACAGACTGAACCGGTTACCACCTTGGGTGGCAACCGGTCTAGATTCAAAACTGGCCTGCGGCTGCACTACATATAGTGCCCCCAGGGTCACGGGATTTGCGACCATTCAACAATACGTACATTCTATTTATATTCCTTTTAGATTGAAATGTTGAAATAGGTTTGAGTCCAGCTATAAGCTTTCAGGATAAAAATTCATTTTTCATCGACTAGATTCAGAAGCAAAAAAGGAGTTGCTTAAACTACAAAATCTTCAAAAGTTTTGCTTAACATTATTGAAAGAATCAGCAAAAGATTTGGCTTAAAATGTCATTTGTCATTTAAGTAGATATATCCGAGTGACGTTAAATATTTAAGCAAACGTATAGAGATACCAATAACTTGCAAGAAAGAATAATTGAGAAGAGTGAAAAGAAACTCCAGAGAGGTCAAAAGTTAGAAATTAAGGAAATACAAAACTTAACTCTAAGAGATAAAACTGGTACGTTTCTTGGTTTCGGGTACGGTAAATATAGTTAAGTGAAAATTAAAAGTCGAATGATATATACTTTACATTGTTCCCTACTTTTAAACATCCTATTATCAACGATTGTGCCTTCTTAAGTTTTATGTAACAAAAGTTCAAATTACAAGACATGCATTGATTTCAATGGACATCTCACTGGTTTGGAACGGTATGCGTAACTAAGATAGTGACACAGAACTCCAGGCACCCAACTTAGGATTTTGTAGCACATTAAACTTCAAATATTGACTCTTTTAGCGTAGAGATTAATGATTGGCAAATGGATTCGTTCCTTGCAATTTTGCTGGTTGTGTTTTAATGAAAAAAGAATTAAAATATTTAAATAATATTTTGGTCGCGAAGTGAAATGAAATGTAATGTTTTAAAAGGAATTATTCACTCTCATATATATCTCAATACGTACGTTGGCGTTACTACGACGATGCTAACAAAGACTTACATTTCATTCGGATGAACATAGCTCAATATATCAGCACTTAAAAGGAACACTCATAGATGAGACGGATATTAGATGAAAATATGTTAATATGTTTATATTGCATAAAAACGATAACAAGCAAAAACTAAAAATACTTGTAGCCCTTTATATAAGAGAGTTATATAAAGGCAACAAAATATAAAAAATGCAACAAATATATAAAATATATAAATATATTATATATATATATATATATATATACGCGCACACGTATAAGCAAAAACAAAAATGTTATTTCCCTTCTACTGGAAAAAAGTCAAAAGAACATGTGAACTTTTCAAATCTAGAACGTTGCATAAGCAGTAAAAGAAAACAAACAAAGAAAAAAAAACAACTAAAAAACGAACAGTTGAAATGTTTTAAATTCATAGAAACGCATATACATACTCACAAACAACTTAACCCCCTGAAGATGAAAACATAGACATGTCTAAATTATTAAAGATTGAAATTAAAGAGACATGCAGCATATAATATATATATATATATATATATATATATATATATATATATATATATATATATTTATTCTAATGAAGTAACGAATTTTTTAATTTATTAATTCGACAGATTTTTATCAATTTAAACGTTATTTTTTTTGGATATTCATATTTGAGTAGACGATTTCTCGAATATTTACGTCAGTAGATGAAAGTAAATAAATATACTGTTATTCAACAACAAAGATGCGGGCAATAATCCGAATGTAAATAGTGTAAATCATAATTGTTTTTTTTTTATTATTATTATTACATTTATTTGTGTTTATGTGTGCATCCGTAGTATGTTAATTTGTTTACTTATTTAGGGTTTTTTTTCTTGGGTGTGGGGAGTTCTTATTTGTTTCATTTAAAGTATTGGCTTTGTAAAAAGTATGCTAGACTGTCTCCGTTTTATATAATGCATATATTTGCATTTTTCATGGTGGTATTTTACAAGCTTTTACTTTTCGATTTTTAACTAGCGTAATAAAAAATTGTTTTCGTGTCCGCATTTTGAGAAGTTTTAATCGTTTAATTATTAATTTGTGTTCGTCTCAGAAGGTGATTAAAGCTATTTTCTCCTCCAATGTTTACAGTCTTTGGATTTTTTGTTGTAGGCTGATGTTTTCCTTAATTTCCATGATATTTCTTTTAATGTAATTTGTTTTTGGTTTTTAATTTCCCATATATTTTTAGAAAGTATTGTGCTGTTCGCGTATTTCTTTGTTTCCTTGTTCCTTCAGTGTATTTTTACTTTGTCATTTTCTGAAATTACAGTCGATTGGCATATATGTTCTTGCAAGCAATTGCTTTTTAAGGGATATTCCTTGGTCTGCAATTACAGGTGGGTTATTTTTCTGCGTCATGTTCTCAGTGCAACTGTAACTGATTTTTATTGTGTTTTTTGTTGAATATCTTGTGGAGAGTGCTTCATGAGGGGCTTGCGTTCAAGTTTAATGAATATTTTTCGTACGTTTTTTTTATGTTGTTGCATGGTGGGTTGAACCAAACGATGTTACTTTTCCTGTTGACTTTTTTGTACTGTGTGATACGCCTGTGAGTATTGCCATAGATCCACTATCCTTTAGGGCAATTTCATAGTCTTTTTTGGTTTCATGGAAGATGGTTTCATTGAAAGAATTTTCAGATAATCTGCGGTTAATTGATTGTAGGATCTGCTTAAATATTATTGTCAGATTGTTGGTAGATGTTCGTATGTAAATTGGTTTGTCGTTGGGTTTTCGATACGGTTGATCTGTACTTTAGGTTGAAAGTGTAACATCAAGAAAATCTACTTCTTTTATGTTTGTTTTTATGTCTATGTCGAATCGCATATTTTAAAATATTTCATGATTATTTATCTGGTATTGTTTCTTACAGTTTCTTAAAATTACGAGTCATCTTTGTAAAGACCTATATCATTTTTATCGATTATTTCATGTTTTAAATGTCAGCCTATAAGCGAGCAGGTTTCTGTGACATCAAGGCTTCACATTCTAATGTCGAATGTTCCTTCCTTCTTTATACACTTGTTTTCGTGTAGTAATTTCCGGCAGTGTTTAACAACTTACTTCGTTTGTATTTATTTTTATTTCTTCTTCAGCTGAGGAGATGGCCTTATCTCGTGTGGAATCGGTTATACGAGGGTAGGAATCTTATATCTAGTTGTATAAATTCGCAGTTATATGTGTTTTTTGGCTGCGGAACCAGTCTATAGATGTTTTTTGACTTTTTCCACTGGTTTACTCCCAAATTCATCCTTAGTCCTAGATAATTCTTCCTAGTATTATTTTACTTATTACCTACTTCACATTTAGTTGAGTTTATGAGATTACATAATGGATTTGTTTTGAAGTTTTCTTTGTGGCCTTTTAGTGCATTGAATGCTTGTGATTTTGCGATGCAATTTATTTGGTCGTCTAAGTTTCGGCGATTTTATAATAAAAAATCTAAATAAACATTAAGTAAATAACAAATTAACAAACTTCAAATGTAGATAAACACTAGTGTAATAATACAGTAGAATCCCTCATATCCGGAATCCCGCATATCCGGACATAATTTTGATGTGTATATTTGAATTATTTGGGTGATATGTAACTGATTTGAAATTTCTGTTTTTCAGGGAATTTACTTTGGATAATTGCTTATGCTTATTTTACCCTAATGGCTTGTAGCTGATGGGAATAAAAGGAAAAGAACAAATTTGGAATTGTCGCAAAAAGTGGAAATTTTAAACTAGACGTTGGTGAAAGTTCATTGTAACTAATAGCTGAGTTCAACATAGGAAAGTCAACATTGTATGACATAAAATCTTCCAAAGAAACTATTCTCCAACGTTCACACTGTCACAATGAACAAGGAAATATTAAAAAAAAATGATTATGATGAAACCTGGACTAAAACTGAAAAACTATTGAGAAAGTTGTCAGTTTCATGGAAAGAAAGCCAGCATTCAACTATGACGATTGCAATAAGGCACGCAGAGAAAGTGTCTTTCGTTTAAAAAATTCAAGAACAAAAGCAAAACGAAATGCGGGAAAAGTTGAGAATGACATTAGAAGATAAAGAATCATCATGCAACAGCGATTAAAAAGTACTCGTTACATTATTTGTTTTGCATACGTGGCATATTTAATTTAATGAATTTTCATTAACATTACATAATTTATTTCTTTTTCCTTAAAATCAATTCCGTTATTTTCACTCACCATTAGCTTATTTTGTTTAGTATAAAAGATTGAAAATAAATGTTAAACCTGATTTCAGTTCTTATTTTAATCTAAATATAACCCCTCATATCTGGACTTTGTAACCAATTCCTCATATGCGGAAGGCCTTCTTAGTCCGGTTGTCATAATAAGCAAATAAGTAATCAATAATAAATAATGAGTAAAAAATAAAGTTTAACAACACAATGAAATAGCTACAAATAACTGCATTCGGATCCACAATGATTTCTACTGAATAACTTACAAAATAATATAACCATTACCGCAAACCCAATAACCGTCTTGCTACCCATAATGCACCACTGACCGACATATATAAATAGTCGATCCAAACCACAACACACATGATCTGAAGATTGCATTTAAGCATAAAACAGACTGTGACCGCTTGTTAACCTCATTGTCACAAAAATAAGTTTTGAAATAAAAAGTATGACGGATTATAAATAAATCCATTGTACACACACACACACATATATATATATATATATATATATATATATATATATATATAAAATCAATGTACCAAAATACAAGTTGATAGAAAAGATTAATATATGGTTACCAAACTTAAAAAATATTGAATGTCATACGATTGAAATCTTAATTTTTGAAAAAGAAGCTACCACTTCCGACGATTCATACTGTAAACTACCTACGGTTTTGCCCGTGAATGGCGGGGGGGAGAAGTGCGCTTCACGCTACCATTCTGTTAGTGAAGGTGTTCCACACTGCAAGATACTGGAAGTGGCGTATGCCTTACACTAGTACCCCAGTTGTGGGGCGGTGCGCTTTTTACTGCAAGCTACCATTCTGGCTTGGGTGGGGGTCGCTTCATAGAGTAAACTACAATTGCAAGAGGGTGAGAAGCCCTCCAAATCGAAGGTAACTATTCCGGAAGTGGGGGCGCTTCACACTGGGAGCTACGATTTCGTGAGGGGATCGCTTCGCATTGCAAGCTACGATTCTAGGAATGGGTAGCTCACACAGCAAGCTACAATTTCAGGAACTTGAAGACATGTAGCTATGGTTAAGGTTACTATTGTGGACTCAAAGGAATCGTATGTTTGGCAGAGAATGGGTATATATTTTGATACACTGTTCTGCAATGATTATTATCGGACCATAACAAATACAATATTTTCGCATATTACACAAACCATATGAACACCTTTTCTATTTCTTTAAGTGCAATTTGTTAGCTACAGATAAAAACAAAGACGTGATGAACAGAAAATAAAAAACGAAGCTATTTGGGCCTATCTGAAATCGTTAACCATGACATATATGGAAAGGATATTTAAATAATACAGAACCTATGCTGGCAGTAAACTGCCTGCTTATGGGCATAAAATGAATTCAACAAATTTACAAAAATAGAAAGGGGTGTAAGACAAGGATGCATCTTCTCACCGGACTAATTCAACCTATATAGTGAGGCGAATCTGAGAGAATTCATCTATAATTCATTAATGGCGGCCACAATGTTGACAGCAGGAAGAGAAAGTAAACTACAAATCTATAGAAGAAAAACGAAAAGAAAGGACTAAACATCAAATGCAAAAAACGGAATACATGGTTGTTAGCAAAAGGGGCAGCCCAAAATACAAATTACAGATACCAAAATCAAACAAGTACAAAAATTTGAATATCTGAAGTGTTTTAACAGAGGACAGAATGTGCGACACTGAAATCCGAAGGCGCATCGAGATAATAAAAATGCCACCCAAAACCTAAGCAAAGTATTAAGGAACAGGAAAATAACGTGAGAAACAAAGAAAAGAGTATTGAACTGTTATGTAATATCAATTCACGTATATGGCAGTGAATGCTGAACAATCTCCTCAGATGAAACTTTAAGCAACAGAAATATAGTTCTACAGAAGGCAGCTGAGAATATAACGGACTGAACATGTGAGCAACGACACAGTTTTAAAGAAAATGGAAACAAAAAGGAGACAGAGTTAACATCAGAAAGAGAGAGAGAGTTGAGATTTCTAGGGCACATCATAAGGAAAGAGGGCTTGGAAAATTTGACACTCATGGAACAGACTGAAGGCAAGAGGGTTGAGATAGAATAACGAATAACCTACCGAGCGAACTTGAAAAAAAAATGGAGATCGAAACAGGGTTTAGGAGAAATATCAAAAAGACAAAATTTATCAAGAGCTATAAAGGGCAGGAAATTGTGGAGACCCATGATCACCAACGTGCTGAAAGGACACGGCACATAGTAGAAAGTTATTTATTGACTCATTGTTTTTTCTTATATTCCTTTATAGAGAGAGAATCAGCAGCATGTTTATGATTCTCTCTCTATTTATATTCAATAGGAGAAAAAGGGAGAGAAAAATCGAAGTGATTCATATCGCATTACATAAGAAAGTTGTTTCGCATCATTATGGTTATTCCAATGGCTATGTGGTTCATATTTTTCAAAAATGTGAAAATATTTTTACTCAATATAAATTAAAATAAATAAATATCAATAAAAGTTTGAAACACAGAGAAATATCAAAGTCCGGTGTCAATATTTGCTTTATGCATCTATTTTTTATTTATTGGCTGCACTTATGAAAAGGACATGTTCATATATCTTAGCTACAAATTGGTGCTACGTGTAATCCTAACAGCATTGATTTCTTTTAAAGAATATGACCTCTTGCCATGACCTCTTGTTTTGAACTACTTCTACAAGAAAGTCGATGTATGGAAAGAAAAAAAACATTTTACATTAAACGAATAGATATTTCATTTTAGATAGTTTTGCCGACTGACTGAATCTTTATCTGACCACAACTACAAAGATGCAATACAATATATTGCTCCTCTCTTAAATTAACATTTTATAATTAAAATTTATCGTCAAATTTTTTACTAAGATGTTTAAGCAGTATATAGTTCTATATTATTTAAGTATTACCTTAAGCAGAAAAGGTGATATGCAGGTTACCCAGATAAAAAAAACCGGCTAATTCGCAAAGAAATTTATTTATCATGATGCATGCACAAACTGAACAATTATCGTAGATGTTCGAAATGTTTGCCTGAACGTTCAACACAAAGTTGTAAGCGTGATAACCAGGAGGCAGTAGCTTTGGGATAGTGTTAGGAGGAATTTCATTCCAAGCTTCAGTTAAGTTCCACTTCAATGTATCAATATCGACAATGTTAAGCCGACGGCTTTACAAGTGAATTAAGGAGTACATTCCAGATATAGTAATCCATAACATTCAGATCTGAGCTTTTAGAGGGTCACTGAAATGGACCAATTAGAGCTAGTGTATTTTCTAGAAGGATTTTTTTTTCTTACGAGGCCCCCTGTAGTAATGTTATCAGTAATAATAATAATTTCATATATATTTTAATTCTACAGAACACATTTGCTGCCGCATTCTCCTTAACCTGTTTTCTAGTACTTTTAAGCACGAATTAAAAGCACAAGGCAAATTATAAAATTGCAACCACTGTAAAATAAATACAAATTTAATACTTACCAATTACTAATTGAATCCGTTTTATTCTGAGAATCAAGATTTGTGGCGTTTTCCGTTGAGATTTCCGGCAGTAAATGTGTATTTTCAAGAAGGTCTTTTACAAAGTCTGTGGCGCGTTTATTCTTCGGATTTAACACGTTGATAAGTTCCTTGTCACTTTCCTTTAAGTTTTGAGACAAATCTTTTGCTATTTCTTCGCATTCCAACTCTTCTTGTGACGGGCGTCTGGAATGACTTACCGCAAAATTAGCTCTTTTGCCAGATGCCGACATTGAGTTATTCTCATTTTTGGGGTTCTTCTTATTATTATTTGCTTGACGGTGTCTTTGTTTAGGCTTTGGCTTTGTTTTTGGTTTACCAGAAGCAGGAACTTCGACTCTGAGAGGACTTAGTGAACGGCGGATGTTGTTTTGAACCTCGGTTTCCGATTGGTTGTCGCTTAAAACTAGATTTTCCAACGATAGCTTCCGGCATTCTGTTTCTCTTCGTGAGGAGTCATTTGTCGCAGAGTGAGGGCTTGGAAAGCTGGAAGACATCCGTTCCAGTTGGCTTTTCGAAAGAGAAACGTCTTGTTCTTCATGAAATCCACCATCTTCGTCGCTAGTTATGCTACCAGTTTGAACATCCTGTTCTGACGATGATCGATCCATCTCTTTGATACTGGTTGATGATCTCGGCAAAGTGTGGTAAGCAGAATTGTTGCGCGGTGTAATGTTTGGTGAACAAGGTTTAATCGGACGTGGCCGATACAGCAAAGCAACATCCTTATTTTGGGCCTGGAATTCTTTGGGTGCCAAAGATGGGGCCGAACCTGTGCTCGCTCGCATCGGCCGCCTCTTTTTGCCAGGAAGGGTACTATAACCATCAGACGAACCAATCTAAATTTATAAAATAAAAAAATAAACATATTAGTTACCTGGAAGCAAGAAAATTGACCAGAAATATTCATTTTATTTTAACGTCACCAGAATTTTGCTTTTTTAGTATTTAAAACTTTATCTTACTCATAATATCACGGGTAGGATTCCTTCATTAAAAGACTTTCATTCAACTTTATATATACATACAAACTATTTTATTTTATGTATAGTAAATTGCTGATACTCGCTCAAGAGTGGGCGGACAGGTCTGCCTACGAAAGTCTGGAATCGGGATGCTGAAGTTAACATCAACCAGCTGAATGACAAACTTTTCGCTATATTAATTCTCTCTCTCTTATATATATATATATATATATATATATTACAGTTCGTTTTCTTACACACAGCTTTGGCTTTCATTCCGACCTGAAGCAGAGATCAGCAGAAATCGGTGAAACGTATCGCTTATAAGCTTTTCCATTTTTATCACCACACGCACACACAGTATACATACATTAGTGGAATTGAGAATTTCCTGATGCAGTCACCACTTCGCTGGGCTGATCATGTAAGGTGAGCTTTGTGGTGTTGAAAAAACACAAATGTGCCCAAGCAAGCGTCTACAAGTAGCCAAGCATCCTCGAATACGAGTGGCCAGCTATAGAGTGTGGTTATGCATCTCTGTGAAATCAGTTTAATTTATTGTACTGCTGACTGATATCATATTTCCTCAACACTACCCCAAACACACTTCTCACCCTAACCTTCCAGTCGACGAATCAATGCTGCCATTTTATTTGATTCTCGCCGAATTTAAGGTCGGGATAAATTTAATTTGCCCTTTCCTAAAAGATACATTCGGCCAAAAAACCTTATACTGTACGGAAAAAATTATTTAAAATGAATATTTGGAAGCAATTTGAGATAAAAACGTGTTCTTTGAAAAAAAGGTCATACAAGGCATTAGAGATTTTTAAAAGATTTATAAAATTAAACCAAGGAATACATTGCCTATTAAGTATGTCTCCAACTTCGATCAGGCGCAGACCTACTCAGCCGGACTAGCCACGTTAATTTTATTTCATTGTTTGTTTGTTTTTTTCTTCGCTATTATGAACAATATCAACGAAATGTATTTCGGTCAATGTTTTGAGGCACGGAGTTAAAACAATTCATTTTAGATCCAGCTGAAGTCAAAAATGAAACCGATGCATTAGAAAAAGTTTTTGTTGCTTTGAAAGAAATATACTTGAATATCGACTCACTCAGGCTAAGCTCGACCGCTGGAGTGGCTACTGATATATATATATTTATTATACGAGGGAAGATGAGAGTAGAGTGCTGGTTAGAGGGAAACATCGAGCAGCTTACCTAATGAGTGTGTGTATAGATGACAGGGCAAAAACAAGATGAGATGATAAAGTCAAATGTAGGTAACACCTATAAAGGAACAAGTAATCGTAGTGTGCCATGATCAGTCATATCTTGAATCTACACATAAAATGATTATCGATGTAATCCTTAAAATTTCTAACGAGATATCTCCAAGTTGTATAAACAGCTTTATAGATAAAACTAATTGCAGAAAGTGTTACAGCTTGTAGGATAATACGAATAAAATTTCAAATAATTATTTTTTTATATTTTTCAAATTTGAAATATAGAACGAACGGCGAGAAGAGTTGTACGAATGTACACATCAAACGGGTAATAAATTAGAAATTTAATTTTTTGTTTATAGATTGCGATTACATCTTCACATTTTTTTAATGCAAAAAGCATTAAAAAAGTATATTTTAAATCTTTTTGCCTCCATATTTTCGCCCTTGCACCACATCTTTTTAAAATCATTTCACCCCAAGCAAAGCAATAAAGCCACTAAGACGCAAAGTGTTAGAGAAGATGAGAAAAACTATTATTAGAGAGAGAGAGAGAGAGAAATAAAAGAACAAGCATTAAGACAGTAGATAACAATTGACATTGCATTTAATGTTTTGAAGATCAAAGATGACAGAGAAGCAAGAAGCCGGAAGACATTTGCACAAGTGAGAGAAGAAACTATTAGCATAGAAATTGCTACACATTTCAACTGTAAAATGATGAGACCTAGCTGCCAATCTAGTACTGCGCTTAAATTCATATAGTCTAGTTACCCTAGCGTAAAGTTCATAAGAACAATTACGATGAAAGCATTTATAGAAGAGACACAAGAAAATTACGTTATGGCGGTGGGAAAGGTATTGAAGTCGAGATTCCTGGTCAGGCCCGATAATATTGCAGATCCCTTTTTGGATTTTATCAAGAATCTCTAGATATATATCGAAATCACCAGCCCAGATATAACACAGGACAATGTCTGGTATTTGAACCAAAATAGAAAGCAGAAATTTCCAATGCGACTTTTCAAAATCTCCAAGTTTTCCCGTCTTGAAAATATTAGTGTAACACAATATTTGGTAAAATAGAGAATAAAAAATAAAATTCTTCTATTGTACCAATTTTGGAAGTGACGATCGACCTGTTTTTAAAAATGAGCATCCAGAATTCTCGCTTTTTAACTGGGCTTGGACACAGGCCTCTGATGAAAACGTCGCTTACCCGGCAAGCAGGCAAACACATCTAGCTCCCAGTAACAAAAAATAACGGTAATGAAGAGGAGACTGGAGGGAACAAAGATGTGGTTGTACAGAAGGATACTGAGAATACTATGGACGGAGCATTTAAGTTATAAGGAAAATGAAAACAAAAAGGAGATTTATACTTAGAATCAGAAAGAGACGATTGAAATTTCTAGGACATAAGGAAAGTGGGCTGGGAGAGTTTGGCACACACAAGACAAAGGAAAGTGAATTACGTATATAAAGAGTGTGTAAATGGATGGCAGAACAGTAATTGGGAGGGATAGCAAAAAGACAAAGCTTACTAAGGTCTGCAAAAGATAGGAAGTTGTGGAGAGCCATGATCGGTATATGGAAGACTAAAAAGCTATAAGTTAGAATTTACAAATTTAACCTACCTGCGAAAAAGGTAAATTGCAATCTTGGCGAAACGACAAAGAGTGACTATTACTTGTATCTTTCAAATGGGATATATCTGGATCCGAACCTCGGCCCCCAGAATAAAGGTTTTTCAATTTAGACGGGTGCTGCTGCTGAGCGAGCATCCAGTGCAGCGATGGGGTCACATTTGGTTCGATCGACACACCCGAATCTTTGTCAACTTCGCTAAGGTCGCTGGTGGATTTGAACCTCTGCGACTCCCTAAACGAATCTTGCTCGGTCTGCATCTTGTTGCGTTGCTTTTCAGGTGGGATCGCCTTGAATGTTGAAAAGTCGGCCGGCCCTCGTAAGGAAAGGGATCTTGGTTTTTCTGGAACAGGTGGCGGGGTTCTTTTTTTCTGGCCATCCTTGCATATTTGTTTCCGGCTGGCTTTTGTCTCCTCCAACCGTTGGATTCTCTGCTTTACAGATACTAGACATTCTTGTTCTTCGTCAGTTTCAGATGCTACGGCATCCTGCCCCGTTGAACTTTCTGCAAGAAACAAAAACATAGAACTAAGAACTATGTATCCAACAATAGCATTTACATTCGGATTATGTTCCTCAATTTTTTTTTTGTTATCACATCATTTTGGCCGTTATGCCTTCCAGCCTTCAGCAAGTGTCTATGGATTCGGGTAATTCTGCACTGAACTGTAGGTTACTCGGATCAATACACTAAGGAGTAGTAGGCCTAGCATAGAAATAAATACAATATGGAAGCCGCTAATAAAGAAAGAAAAATAACAACAGTCTTCAACTACAGCAATCAAAACATAAGCAGTAGTACTAATCAGCAGTCAGGTTAGATTTAAGGCTCACCACAGTAAATTGTCCAATAGACGCGTGGATTAAATCGTTGGTTCGTGAATTTGGTTATACAGTAATTGTGAGTTCAATACCTGAGCCAGGTATGTACTTGTACTAGGCGAGCAATAACTGAACAGTACTAAAAATAAGACTAGATATTTCTAGACATAAAGATTGGTGTGAGAACATTTAAATAATGGGTTTAGTTCAGAATTCCCTGTAGGTTACCCGGATCAATATATACTTGAAGACGACTGTAGAGTTAAACGACCGAAACGTTGTGATAACAACAAAGAGGAGGATAATAGTGTAAATAATGATAACTCCTCATTCCAGAAATTCAGACAGAAAATAATAGATGCTCCCAAAATTTAAGACGGCATAAGATACATGCAAAATTTTGATGAAAGCTAAGAAAGCTAGTATTGCATTTTTCCAAGTGACAAACTTGAAACGAGAAAAAAAAAAAAAAAAAAAAAAAAATTAACATTTGAAATCTTGGCTTTTCGCTAGGTTCGAACACAGTACTACTTCAATAGATTGGTCTACTCTTAAAAAGAAAAAAAGAGGGAATACTTTTTATAGATTAACATTCTTTGGGTCGCGACACTTGTCAGAATAGAAAAATACCGTTTTTTTTTATCATTTAGAAGGGGTGGGTGGTTTATAATATCGATAAAGTGTAAAATCTTTGTCTCTTTTTTACAGAGTTATCTGCACTTAGATTTACATATAATGTCAAGTTTAAAACTATGCTTCGTCACTATTGTCCGAGTACGAAAACATACTTTTTTTTTTTATTTTCCAAAGATCTTTTAAGTAAGAAAAACAAACATATATACGCTTTTATGTGTTAAGAAAATATTAAAACAAGGAATTCTTACCAAAATCATTATTGTATTCATTTTTAACATTTTTCTTTTAAAAAAAAATTACATAAATTAACAAAAGTAAGCAAATGACGTAAGCACATTTTCAAGTGACGCCATTTGTAAATTAAGAAAAAAAATTAAATGAAAATCAATATTTTCGATTTTGACAAACGTCGTGGTATGAGGAAGGTCTAAAGAATGTTAATGTGCAAAATTTTATTTTGCCCGTGTTTTTTGGGGTTTTTTTTTCAAGGGACTCGTCTATTAAAGTAGACTTTCGAAGACAAACCCTGGGCACCGGTGGAGAACGCGCAACTATCTTGCACGAAGCAGGACCTAAATATTTAATTTACTTCTGCACAAAGCCAAATGTGGTGGGTTTTTTATAAAGATATTTGTTTCGTCAAACTTCTCAGTAGAGATGGACAACACGTTGAAACACCGGTTCTCGTACGATCACCGAAGTCAAGTAACGTTAATTCGAATAATGGCTCGGAATTGATAACCGAAGAGCCGAGTTCGAATTCCAGTCGGATTCGTTATATTCACTTAAGCGCAAATCTGCTTGGGAATGGTAAGAATCCACTTCTTCTCGCAGCTATGGATTAATTAGTATCAGTAAATCATCCTCCCAAAATTCTTACAATCTAAAGATATTCTAGCTTTAAATAATCTTCAAAAGGTTGATAATCCGTAAAAAGCAAATCAATCAATCGGCGAGTGAATTTTCCGTTTCTTTTCGGGGGCATTCATGTAAAACCATTTACGTGGTTACCGGTTGTATCCAATAACTAAAAGGGATTAGAGAATGAAAATTGGGATAGCAAAAACAAAGGCGATATTGTATAAAAAGAAATGTCCAAATTCTAATGGTAATAAGGATAGCTGTTGCCACACAAGAAACATTCGGCATCTATAGAAAACCAATAAAAAAGCAAAAAACGCTCCACAACCACCACCCCGCCAAAAAAGAAAAGAAAAAACAGTAGAGAGGACCGACTTGTTTTGTAAATTCTGAAATATACAAAAACAATCACCGTCTTTTAATCTCGCATGAAGTCCTGTGCATATATTTTGAAGCATATACAATGCATCTGTTTATTTTTCGAAGATTCTAGCACTTCTGAAAGTTTGAATTGTCTATTTTCTCTTCATTATGACACCGTAGAAGCAGCGAGCATTGATTTCATTCAATTAATTCAGTATATTCTCAAGTATTGGGTAGTAAAAAGAGTTGAAGCAGACATCGGCAAAATTTGAACTTTTTGTCGATCCATTTTTTTCTCGTGTCACGTAAAGTCATGTATCACGAACACAATACCAGAACTGATAAATTAAAACTGAATCCGGTTTGATACAATATGGTCAGATTTCATTTCCTTACACTTCTCGAATTCTGCGAACACCTTCAGCGGCTTTGAGTCCCGGTTTAAAATACTGTGTCAAAATCGCCGAAATTATCATCAGCATCAAAAACGGCAGCATCAACAGTAGTAGCAACGTCATCAACAACAGCAGCAGCATCGATTCAAATTTTCAGAAAATGTATTGAGAACTTCACTCGACAAACATCTAGGTTTTACTTTATCACCAAGACTCTCAAATCGATATCCTGCAAAAAAGTTGACAGATATTGACTATGCAGTTAACTTAGCTATCACTGCAGACACCATTACTAATGCCACAGTTCTCCTACATCATCTAGAAAATTCGGTCAATGATGTTAGATTCTATGTCAACGCCTTTAAAACTGAATTCATAGGCTTCAACCAGCAAGGCTCAATACAGTCTCACGTTATTCAATCTGTCGAATATTTTATATACTTAGAAAGCGAGATAAATTCTACTGAAAAGGATGTGCATATTAGCATAGCTAAGTTATGGACCTCCTTGAATAAAATGGCTGTAATGTAGAAATCTGATCTACCAGACAACCACAAGCGGAGATTCTTTCGAGCCACTGTAGAGGCGGTGTTAATAGATAGTGCCACTGCTTGGATATTAACTAAAACCCAAAAATCTAAGCTTAATGGAACCTACATTCGGATGCTGAGAGCTATACTTAAAATCTCTTGGAGACAACATCCAACTAAATCACAGCTCCACCGACCCCTAATATTTCTACAATCTTACGCGAACGCAGAATGCGCTTTGCAGGACAATGCTTGCGAGCAAACAAGAACTCGCAAGTGATCTACTGCGCTAGACACTTAGCCATGGAGCAAAACGTATTGGTTGCTCAATAACCACCTACATTATTGCAGTCAAGTTCTGTAAATAAATAAACCACTCCCTCTTAAATGATATGAGAATATTATAATGGGATGGTAAGTTATGCTTATCTTCACCATTCGTGTAAAAAAATGCTTTCTATATGTCTGAACATTATTTTTTTTTAACAATTCGGCTATTTATTTGAGTTCGAACTAACTACTGGGGAGAGGAAGTATATTTACCCCAACCTCCCCACTGAGACACTGGTGACACAAGGTCGGTTTTTAACGTGGGAAACCCGACCAAGAACAAAAATTCACCAAAACCCCGCAACCGTCGGTTGCACTGGCCTCGATGCGAGCACTGATCATTCTCTCTAGTGTAATTAGTCCTCTAGTGCATCTGTCCTCAGGGCTGGGTACCTCACAGTTTGATTTTCTTCATTTGCGCCTCTGTTCTCCGACGGAGCCGCAATCGAGTCGCACTTGGTCCGAAGACAGAGACACAACTGAGAGATCTGTCTATATTTCTGAGATGAGGTATTATGTACACTATTTTCATTATTCGGATTATTGTCCCCATGTTTGTCACCTGGCACAGTGGATAAAGGCGTTAGTTATATCCAGTGACAGGACCCAAAGAGTGTGAGTTCAATACCTGGTTAAGGCAGTGGAGAACTTGGTGAGGGGAATTAACAGGAGATTAAATTAACAGGGCACGTGGAACTACAACAGTCTACCCCAGTGAGCGAAATAAAGGGTTCAGTTCCATATTCCATCCACCTGAAAAAGGTTTGAACGTACAACGGCCGAAACGTTGTAATAAATATGGCGACAAAGATGAGGCCATAGTCCGAATAATGTAAATAGTGTACAACTAAGAGATGATAAATAAAACCTACCCGGCCTGTGTCAGGTAAGTATTAACTACTGGCCGAGGTGGGGGGTGGGGGTTAGTGGGAAGCTCAAAATCCTCAGTCGTAAAACAAACTCTTGACATCGCACTTGTTTACACGATACCAGCTGCAGTGAACCAAAGTTTGACCTGTCTGCATAAAAACAAACTAAAATTCAGAATTAACCTGACAAGCGGATTTTTCTTGAAAGGCATGTCAATGGAAAGTGAAGTTGCTTCGCCGAGTACATCGCTTCAAATAACACTAGACAATATCAGTTTATATGGTACAAGTAAGGGGGGGATGCCTGATGTGACCGCATTTTGTATTAAAGTAATGAAGAAAATGAATTCCTGAGCCGACCAAGCATAGAAATGAATACAATATGGGAACCAGTAATAAGGAGTACCAGAGAAAATAATAACAAGAACTGCAATATGAGCTCTGGTAAAAAAAATGAAATGATAACAGCAAAAATTGCAATATGAGCACTGGTAAAAATGGTTAAAGACATTAGGTTTATAATAGCCAGAAATACATACAAAGATGTCCTACCGGACACATAGCACAGTGGATAAAGGCGTTAGTTACATCCAGTGACAGGACACAAAGAGTGTGAGTTCAATACCCGGTTAAGGCAGTTGAGAACTTTCAGAGGGGAATTAACAGGAGATAACTGACATCCATTAGACCTGGCACGTG